AGAGAGAGAGAGAGAGAGAGAGAGAGAGAGAGAGGGAGAAAGAGAAATATAGATGCATATTATGTGCTTAATACATATGCATGACAATAAAATGATATATTCAAAATAATGATAATTCCAAATGAATTATGATAGTAGTGGATTATAACTCATTAAAATAAGAATCCGTGACTCCACACTGATAGAAATAAATAAAATGAGGGAAAAGGGAAAGCTCTTCCTTCAAAGAATGATGGAGTTAGAAAATCATCAATAGATGCTCAAACTTTTTCCAAATAAAAAAGCAAACCCTGAAAACGTAGCTATAACACTTAGTGCCCAAATCTTGGTTCCTAGATGCCATTGTCAACCAGGCATGTCCAGGTCTCCTTGGAAAAAATGGTTGACTCCAGGGCTGGGGCAGGGAAAGTACAAGATGAGCCTGGAGCATCTTGTGGTGCCAGAAAACAAGGAAGTGCTCAAGGAAAGATGGAGACCTGCCAAAAGGACACAGGAGCCAGCTTGGAGGGCCTCTTGCTGGCCAAATCTGGGACATTTTGAACATCAAAATAAAGAATGACATTAATGTGTTATAACTCACTGAAAATGATAGACAAGCATGGTCCATGAGAATATAAATACATAAACATAGGAGAAGGGAAAGCTCTCCTTTACACTGGAGAGCCAACTAATCCATGTCAAAAGAATGATGGCATTGGACAGTCACCATTTGGCAACCCCAAGAATCATCAGCAAATGCTAAAACTAGTGAGTGAAAGTTTGAGGAGTAACAAGACAGTTACATAATGCCAGTGCATCTCCCCTCAAGATACTCATTAATTACAGAGGGAAAAATAATAGCTTTACAACAGAGACACTACGTAGCCCAATGTGTCACCTGGTCTTTCTTCAGCTTCTACGGAGACCCCGGAGGCGCGAGGCCTGGGTGAGAAAACCTGTTGGCAACAGAGGAATGAGGATATGGGGGCTGCTCACCTCTGCTTTGGGATGTGCCATGCCCACCACCTGGGCTGCCCTCTCGCATTCCTTTCTCATTATTCTGCTAACATTACATACTCGCACACCTCCAGGCTTTTGCACATGCTGCTTCCTCTGACAAATGCCCTCCTTTACTGGGCTAATTCCTACTCACCCTTCAAGACTCAGCTAAAGGAGCGGTTCCAGAAACGCTTACCTGACCCCTGCCCCAAGCTGGGTTTTCCCTTTCTTTGTGCTCCCACACATGCTGTGCTTCCTTCTGGGACTGCACTTATTACTATATTGTATTGACATCATCCCCCCAGGCTGTCTACTTCTGAAAGTCTTGTCCTGCATTGTCCAATATGGTAGCCAGTACCCACATGTGGCTATTTAAATTTAAATTTAAAAATTCAGTTCCTCAGTTCAGTTGCAACCAGCCACATTTCAAGTGCTCGATAGCCACATGTGGCTAGGGGTTACCATACTGGACAGCACAGGTATAGGACATTTCCATACTCACAGAAAGACTTATAATAGGACAGCACTGGTCTAGATAGAGATAAGAACTCCGTGAGATTCTAGGACCTTTGTCCTTTGTTGTGTGTCATCCCTCCTCATCCACATTGCCAAAGAGATCGGCAGTAGAACGTTTGAGGACAGCCAGTGAACTCCTTGTCTTCAGGTCCTCAGGGAAATGGGGAGGTGAGGAGCCCAACACCCCTCCACAGTCTGGATGGTGAGCCTCCAGGGAGAGGGGGAGGGTCGAGCAGGGATGGCCCAGTGCTGGGACTGCAGTGAGGAAGGGAGGAGGAGGAGAAGGTAGGAGAGAGCTGAGAGAAGCATGAGGGGGGTTCCAGAGGGGCCTGTAAGCTTGCATCAATCAATAAATCAACCAATGCCAAGATACTTTAAGATTTAGCTTAGAAAGAACTATTCATTCATTCAAATCAACAAACATTTTAGTGTCATCTGTGCTGTGCCAAGCACTGTGCTGGGCAATACTCTGGACAGAGGTGATTCAGACCAGTGTCATATCTGTGCCAGCTATGGCCTAGTGGGGAAGATAGATAATCATGTGAGGGATCTCAGAGAATGTGATCAAGGGCACTTTGTGAGGGATGGGTCCTTTAAGGCCAGCTCATAAGAGTGAGAAAACCTTCATCAGGGATGTTAGGGGAGTACATCTGGCAGCGGGGAAGGCACAGGTAAAATACTGAGTTTGGAAATTACACACAGATCTTTTCAGGAAGTGGTGAGTGGATGGCCAAAGTGTAGGCGAGAAATGAGAGGATTACAGAGATTGGCCGGGGCCACGTGGTGGAGGACTTCCAACGTCAAGGCAAAGGAGTTTGTACTTGTTTCTGTAGGTGGCCGAGAACAGCTGACTGTGTGTCTGGCAGGAGGTAGGCATTTCACATCCATCTATTAACAACTGCCCTGTAAGACTATTATCCGTATGCTACAGGTGAAAGACCAGGCTCTGAGAAGGTGACTTGCCAAAGGCAACAGTCAAGTCTGACTGAGTACTAAAAGCTGAGCTTTGGGAAGACAAAACGAGCATCAAGCTGAAGGTGGGAGAAGTGGGAACAACCAAAGGCAGTCCAGCTTGGTCCACCAGGGAAGGAACAAAAAAACTGCTGACTGGACTTGATTCTGGACCAGATGCTTAGATGGCCCCAACTGCTGCTTTTGCTTAAATGTGTGTATGAGGAAGAAAACAAAGACATTGATCCCAGCTGCTTAAGAGTGGGGCCATCCAAACTGCTCCCTCTTAGAGGCCATTCCACACTCTAAGAAGGCCCTCCAAATATTTACTGACTGCTGCTTCTGGGGACCCTGCTGACCCTAACCAAGAGCCAGTGTCCCCCATTCCTCCTAGGCTCTGCCGAGACCCAGGACATGATTAGTGGTGCTGGAAACATGTCCATTTTATAGGGAGGCAGTTTTGGGCACTGGAAAAGGGCCTGGACTAGAAGTCAGGAACGCCCCATCCTGACTTGCTGTGTGACCTTGGGAAAGACGCTTCCATTCTCTGGGCTTCACCCTTCCTCTGTAAACTAAATAGAGCTCAACTATTTGTTATCTAACATCCCAAGTACGTACACAGAGCTCTTAAAATGGATGTATCTAGCCCTCACTTCCTGGCCCAGGTCACCATCCGCCCCGCCCCCCAAACCCTTAAGGACACAAATGTGGCCCAGCTGTGGGGAAGGAGACAGGGCTCCAGGGCAAAGCCTGGCCAGTCACAGGAAGGGTGAGAATAGATGCCACAAGAGTAGAGGAAGTATCCAACCTGTGAAAGCAAGAGAAGGGAACTAACTTGCTGAGCACCTACTCCATGCTGGCTGCTGGACATTCGTTACCTCATGCCTTCATCACAATCCCACGTGGCAATGGCTTATCACCCCAAGTTTTCAACTGAGGAAACAGAGACTCAGTTTCCCGAGGGCGCTAGGAAGGGGAAGCCCCAGGATCTGAACTGGATCAACTCCAAAGCCCAGACCCTTGCCGCTCTGCTCTGTCATGCAGATCGTTAATGAAACGAGACAGGAAAACCTCCCTCACCCCCACCTCCCACCCAACCAAAGCATCTCACCCACCCAGTTGCCTGAGCTTCTACCATCAGCGCCTCACCTCCCTGGGCTAAGGCCTCTCTCCCGGGTCTCCACTGTGGGGGAGGGGGCACAAGTAGGAGGCAGAGGCGGGAGGTGAGCACAAGGTCTTTTATGAGGCATCAAATATACATTCTTATATACAAGGAGGAAAAAAGACAATGCCTAAACCCCAGCTCCTCTCCATACAGCCCCTCCCGCTGCTGCCCTTCCCCACCCCCAAGCCCTGGGGTCCCTGGCCCTTCATACAGCCAGGGTCTATCTGTCTGTCTGTACTGCAGCCCATGGTGGAGAGGGGAGAGGGAGGCAGGAGCTGAGAAAGGAGCTGGATATGCGGGGCAAGAAGAGGAGCTGGGGCTTGTAAAAAATATATTTATAATAAATAAACAGGGCTGTAAAAGGGCTGGAGAGGCAGCGGAGAGTTTGACGGACAGAAGGACTCAGGCATCCTGGCTCCCAGCCCCCACTTTGATGGCTCCAATCTCTGCCTCAGGAAGGACATCTCAGGCTCACGGTGGCCCTCTGGGAGCCCCTCTCCCCAGGGCTGATGCTGGGTGCCCCGCCCCAGCAAGGTGTGTGTGGGCAATATCTATAAAGTGCATTGTCTTCAGCTGTAGGTGGGGTAGGTGTGAGGGAATGGGGGGCATGCAATATGGGTGAGGGAGGGCAGCGCCCTTCTCATCCCAGACCTGAGCCCCCCCGCCCCAAACCTGTCTGGACTTTGATCAGGATAAGAACGTTGCAAGGAGAGGCAAGGTCCTGAAGCTGAAGAGGTCTGGGCTGGGGCCCACTGGAGAGAGGGCAGAGATTGGCTCCAAAGAGGACGCACTGCCCCACCTGGGGACCAGCATAAGTGGGGGCCCACCCACCGCGTGCACTGACACTCCATGTCCTCCAGCAGGTGGAGAGACACATGGAGGTGCGTGGCCAGGCCCTGAGGTCAGAGAGAGGGCCGAGCCAGCTGAGGTTTGGCCACAACTCTACAGAGCTCCCTCCTGGCCCTACGCGGCCAGAGGTGCCCTGGGGAAGCCTTCACCCTCATTGTTCCCGACACCTGCCCTTCCCTACCAGCCAGAGCTGACAGGGAGCTCACACTGGCCCGGAGGTCTGAGGCCACCCAACTAGACCTCCAGGGAAAGGGAGGGGGGAGGGTGAAGAGAGGAAAGAGGACGAGGATCTCTGAAAGGTCCTCACCACTCCCCAGAGTTTGAGAGCCTTGCGTATAGGCTTCAAGTGGCAAGGAGTCTCGAATCTGGAAGGAAATCCCATGGAGACTGTTGGGGGTTAGAGGAGGGGTCCCAAGGCAGGGAGGCAGTGGGGAGGAGGACATGTCTATGTGTATATATGTTTTGGAAAAACTGAGGAAGCAGAGAGGGTGTGAGGCCCCTCTCCTGCAGATTCCCCAGACCTCCCTAGTCCCCAGCTCACACTCTCCCTTCATCAGACCACGGTGCTGATCCGGCTTGGCTTGGCCTTGGGGTTTGCAGTGGGTGGGTTGGCCGTGCCAGGGGGCCCAGAGGCGTGCAGTGGGCCGTGGGGGGAGGTGGGCGGCAGGGGCGAGTGTGGGGTGTGGGGTGAGGGTGGGGGCAAGGGTGGGTAGGAGGGGTGGGGTGGGATGGGTGAGTGCGGTGACAATGGTGACTGGGGGTGGTGGGGGTGGGAGTAGGAACCCCCTGGTGGCCGGGATCCAGGGCCCCCAGCGGCCCCTGCTGCTGGCATCATCTGTGGGTGGTGGCTGAAGATGAAGTGCTTTGGGCCCTGTTTGTGGGCTGGAGGGTGCTGGGGGGCAGGACTGTACAGGGGCAAGGGGGAGGTGGGCTGGTGCAGGGGGTGGCGGCCATGTGGAGCAAACTGAGGGTGTCCTCCGGCCCCCCGTCTGGGAGCTCTGCCTGGCCGGCCCAAGGTATAGTGCTGGGGGCCTGGGACTGGGCCATGGGCATGGAAGTGGCGATGCGGCCCCACGGGAGGAGCTGAGGCAGGAGGCGGTGGAATGGAGCCCAGCTGCGGCAGGGGCGGGGGCTGCTGAGGAGGTGGGGGGAGAGGGGGCTGCTGGGGTGGGAGGTAGGGGGGTGGGGCCGGGCCCGGTCCTTGGCAATACTGGGCATGCAGGGCCTGGAGCTTGGACTGCCCATCAGGCAGCACCCCCAGGCCGCCGTGGCTGTGACCGTGGTGGTGGTGGTGGTGGTGGTGGTGGGTGGAAGAAGCAGATGAAGAGGAGGCAGAGGCCTGGCCTGTTGGCGGTGGTGGCATCTGGAAGGGCCCCTTGCCCCGCTTGCTTCCAAATAGGGAGCCCAGGAAGGATGAGGAGTTGGAGACGGGCCTCTGGCTCTTGTACTCCTCTGGCGGCGGGGGTGGGGGCGGAGGTGGCATCCTCTGGTGAGGGCGTGGACTGCTAATAACAGACCCCTGGAAGGGGGGAGGGGTGGAAGTCAGGCCGGTCTAGATGTCCTAAACCCCCAACCCTAAACTCCACCCGGTCCCTGAGGGCTGGAGCTGGGGAGACAGGACCCCCCCACGGCATAATGAAAACCAAGTCACAGTCCTGTACTTGTACATGGAGCGCCCCCAGCTTGCAGAGCTCTGCTGTCACATCCACTATCTCATCTGAGCCTCAGCTGGGAGAGGAAGAGTTAGGAGTACCTCCTCCTCATCCCCATTTTGCAGACAGGGAGCATGTTAGGCCCAGAGAGACAGAGTGACTTGCTCAGGGTCAAAGAGCAGGACTTGGAGGTAAGAGCTTCTCTGGGCCCAACTCCAAGGGCATCACTACTTGGAGTCGGCCCTGGGGTTGAGAGGGGGCTTGGGAGAGTGGAAGATAGACTGAGAGACAGGCAGAGTGAGGACAGACAGAGTTGAGGACAGATTGAGAGAGTGGTTGGCTGGGAGAGGTAGCCGCAGGGTTCCCGGCAGGGAAGAGGGGGAAGCAACAGGTCCCCTCCTCTTCTGGGGCTCCGCGGGCGGCGGGGCAGGGCTCATGCAGAGGACAAGTGGGGCAGGAGCTGGCACTTACTTCGATGGTGCTGTCCAGCGATCCCACGCTGTTACGCCGCCCCCGCTTCCCTGCACCCACAAGCAAGGAGCCCAGCGTCAGAGCAGCAACCCCCCCTCCCCACCCTGCTGGGCTCCAGAGCTGGGCACCAGGTCTGGGCCCCTCCCGGGGACAGACACCCCTATTCCCTTTCCCCTGCTGAAGAGGGGGAGGTGGGGAGGAGGAGAGGTGGAGGAGGAGGAGCGAGAGGAGGAAAAGATGGAGGAGGAGGAGAGGTGGTGCTGGACAGACAGAAGAGGAAAGAGAGGAGAGGTGGAGCGGCGAGAGAGCGGGGCTAAGACCGTGGCCCCATTCGCGCTCCCTGGCCCAAACCCTGGGCTCCGCCTGTTCTGACCCGGCTCCCAGGCCCCCTGTGGCGCGGCACCCAGGGCTCTGGATGAAGGCAGGGTGCGTGCACGTGTGGCGGGTGCAAGGAAGGCTGGCAGTCAGTGATAGGAGGCGAAGAGGACACCCGGTCCCACGGCTCCCCAGCCTGGGCAGGGTCCCCGGGAGACTTGCCTGCATCAGAGAGGTCTCGCAGGGAACTGCTGAGCGCTCCCCGTTTGAGCCCATCGCCTGCCCCATACGTGTCCTCCAGGCTGCTTCGGGCCAGCGTGCCGTTCACCGAGTCCTTGGCCCCTCCGGGCTGTGAGGCGTTAGGCCGCATCATACCTTTCTGCTTCTCCAGCTCCGCTGGGTGGCAGGTGGGGAGACAGGGAGCGAAGGTCAGGGACAGGAGCGAGAGGCCACCTGACTGACCCCAGCCCTCCGTGGGCCTTCCCCCTCCTCACCTGCTCTGTCCTCAGGCCTCCTGCTTCACCCCCTGGACAGCCAAACCTCAGCTACATCTCCTAAGCACTGTGGCGCCCAGCCCGTCTCGTGCCATCTCCTCTGGCTCAGTCTCCCCTTGTCCCTCTCAGTGTCTGCTGCTCCGGCTCCTCTCCCCCTCCCTGCCTGGTCTCCCAGACCACCCCTACCTTTCAAAACTGAGCTTTACATTGGCTGCTTTGTTCCCAGCAGGGGCAGGAAGGCCCTTCGAGCCTATGGTGAAGGGCACTCACTCCAGAGCCCTCTCCATTCTCAGATACCTTGTTCCAGAGCAGAGGGCTCCTGGAAGGACAGGAGCAGGAAACCAAAGGGAATCAAATCATCTATCATGTGCCAGCAGTATGCTGGGTGCTATGCGTACTCGATCTCTCTCAATCCTTACACCAGTTCAGAGGTAAGTATTAGTAGCCAGTTTTCAGAGGAAGAAACTGAGGATCCAAGAAGTCACAGAGATTGCCCAGGGTCATACAGCTGGAAGTAGGGGAGGCGACATTCTGGAAGCAGGTCTGCCTGAGTACAGAGCCCATACTCTCAGCCTTACACTCCTGCCTCCTTGCGGAGGTCACGGAGACTTCTGCCTATCACCCTCCCCTCAGCCTGGCATGCTCACCCTCTCTCTGAATGCCCCAGGGTCTCAAGGATCTGGTGAGCTGAATGAGTGACCCCGCCTTGCTGAGGAGCACAGCAGACCCTGGGACTGTGAAGGCCTCACCGAGGAGCTGTCCGCCGCCTCTGTCTCTGTCTCTGTCTTTCTCTGCCTGCCTCTTTCTCCTTAACACCATGTTACTTAACTGTGACTGCTTAGCCTGGAGAAGAGAAAACTTAGAGGGCATTGGGAGGAATGAGATGTAATCACTATTTTTCATCATGTATGATCAAAATGACTTGATATGGCCCCTGGAGGCTGGGGGAATGGGTCACCAGGACTCAGCTCGGGAACTAGAATGTGGGGAGAGGAAAGGAGAGGCTGGGATGGGGGCTAACATTTGTCGGACACCTAGGATGTTCAACACTCATGTCCTACGAACATGTAGGACACACATTCCACCTTATCTCATTGAATCTCCACAACTCTGCGAAGGAGATTTCACCACCCCAATTTCATGTATGAAGAAATTGGGGCTCAGAGAGTCAGGCACCTTGCCCCAGTTTACCCAGATAATAAGTAGCACACCTGGCATCTGAACCTAGAGTCCTACCTCCAATACCCTGATTCTTTTCCCTGCTGCCTTTCAATAGAAGGAAGAGTTGGCTCATAATTAGGGCTTGGAGTAATAATCTGAGGCTGAGAGGTTAATGAGCCCCTTGTCACTGAAGCTATTCAAGCAGAGGCTGAAGTGTTCCTGGAATGAGGGTAGGAAGGTTGGACAAGCTAACCCTCAACTCTGAGCTTCTCAGAGGACAGGATTCTTAGTGTTTGCAAGGCACTGTATCAGGAGACGGGGAAGGAGACGTGGCTGGGCTACTCACACTCCACGCGGTATTTCTCCATCTCCTGCACCTCAGCGATGGATTCTCGCAGGTCGGATGTGAAGCGCAGCCGGTCCTGGAGGCTGGGGGCATTGAAGATGATGAGGACTTTGCGCTCCCCGCCAGGTACTGCAGACAGCAACTTGATCCCAAACTGGTAATCTGTGGGGAGAGGGGAGGTCAGGCACCTCTGTCAGGACTGAAGCAAGGTGGCTCATATGTGAAATAATTTTTTTCTAATGTCCAACTCTGACCCAGCCTCTTCTCTGCATGAGCATCAGCAGCAGCCCCCCTTTGCTCCAAAGCCCCCAAACTCCTGGTAATCATGGCCCTGGGTTGTAAAGGCAGACTGAACTCTGGCTGCTCTCTAGAACCCCTTTTCTCATGCCTCTACCTCTACTCACATTGCTTCTGCTGCCCAGAAGGCCACCCATCAAAGCTCCTCTGGTTTAGTCCTTCAATGCATACCATGATCGCCATGCCTCTGGCCCACCAAAAAACATACATGCTGCAGTTCTCTGCCAGACCATGAGCTCCCCAGGGCACAAGTCATACTCCACCCTGGCCTGTCTTACATCCTGGGACCAAGTAGGTGCTTTGGAGACCTTAGCCCAGTTGTAAAGGAGTCCAAAAACTGGAGGTTGGTGTGGAAAAAGGATGAGCATGAGGGCCACGGCAAAGACTCTTGGGATGCTGGGATCCAAGAACGGACTCACATGAATTCTGGAAGAGCTGCATGTGCATTTCCACGAGGGGAAAGGACTGACGGAAGCTGTACGTCACCAAGATCTTCTTCTTCTGGAAAATTTTGGTGACCTTCGGCAGGGGTGGGGAAAAAGACAAGAGGCAGGGTTTGGGGTGGGGAATTTCCACATGGCACCTATTGCTTGCAGCTGCCCTCCCCTCTACCCCACTGCCACTAACAGACATATACACACAAACACACATACCCACAAGCTGGGGCAAACTGAAGCTTGTGGAGCAGAACAGGAAAGACGGGAGAAAAATGCAAGTTCCTGATGTAATGATGATGCACAACAGGCACTTTCGATTTTTACAGGAACTAACTGAATGCTGCTCCCTCCAGGAAGCCTGTTCTAACACCTCACATAGATTTCCCGCCACTTTCTGAGCTTCCAGAGTGCTGGTTCAGTGCCTTTCACTGCTAGGCTTTAGGAGAGTACTCTGAGTGTGTGATTGCTGGACTGGGAGCGCCAAGAGGAGTCTGGTTTTCATGTATCTTGCCCACCTGGACCAGACCCGGGGCACATTAGCAATCTTCAATAAAGCAATGTATAGAGCTAACAAGTCTTCTTCTCAACAACCCAAGGTCTTTGTCAAGTACTTGGGCACTCTGGACTGAGCTAATATAAGTTGTAAACACCTCAGACCACCTGCAAATGGTGTTTAAAAGCACATGATTTGATTTCGGGATGGTTACAGTGCACAGTTATGCGAAGCATCTTTTTAGCCCTTCAGACTGTGAGCTTCCCGAGAACGAGGACCGAGTCTCCCTCATCTCTGGGAACCCAGTGCCTAGCATGGGGCTGGGCACCCACAGGTTTCAGCACGTGATGGATGGTGAAACATTTACTCAATACCTGCGTGGGCCAGGCCCTCCTCTGGGTTAGGCTAGTCCACATCTAACCTCTTATTTCATCCCCATGACAACCCTGAGATAGGGATTAGCTCTACTTCATAGAGGAGGAAATAATGGCTCAGAGAGGGCACTGGAGGAGCTTCATCTAAAGCAGCAATTCTCAACTAGAGGTGACTTTGCCTTTCAGAGGACATTTATCAATGTCTGGAGACATTGTTAGTTGAGGAGTACCACTGCTACCTAGTAGGTAGAGACCAGGGATGCCGTTAAACATGCTGCAATGCACAGGACAGCTCTCACAACAAAGTAGCCCACATCTGCCCCAAATGTCAATAGTGCCGAGGTTGGGAGACCTGCTCTAAAGGACAGAAGACCAAGGGAGGACAGGTCACTGTCCTCAAACCCCTGAGGAGCTGTCTCAGAGCAGAGGGAGAACACTTGTTCTCTGTGATCCCAAGGGTTGAGTGAAGATTATTGAAGGAAACCCACTGGGAGACAGATTCTAGCAGTCAGTGCTGTCTGAATGGGAAACTGGCTGCCTTGGAGGAAGGCAGCCTTCTGTGCCTGCACTCATGCAAACAGAGGGCCATGCAGGAAGCTGGCTCCTGCGTGGGGTAAGAGGTTGGACAGGAGACCCTGAACTTCCCTTCCCACCTGCAGAGTCCTAGTTCTAAAAGACACACGTCTACACTGGTGATGAGCTCGGTTTTAAGAATCACTTCAAGCCGCCCGACCACTGGAAGGTTTCAGACTGACCCCAGGGTCACAGGTTCACTTCCTCCAGCCAACTCACTGGGCTATTGAGGTGGGCAGGGACTTTTTCTACCACTTCCCAGATTGTAAGCCTGTCATCTGCCCTGGTCCTCACATTTTCTGCCCCCGTGTGGCTGCCACTACCTCCAAATGGATCCTCCAAATGGTGAAGTAAAGGAGGGGCTGAGGCACTCACATCACATGGCAGAGCTCCTTACCTGCCAAGCCTCCACCCACCAATGTTAATATGGTTCACACCAGACCCGGGGTCCAAGCTCACCACCTTCCCTCCTTCTCCCCTCAGTGCTCATACCACAAGGAGATCGTTGAAGAGGAAGACCTCTCGCTGATGCAACCCTAGCCTCTGTGGGCGGTTTGGATCTGGCACCTCATAGAGCTGGCAGCAGCACACCAGTCGACGGTGAGGAAGAGACAGGACCTAGATAGGCATGAAGAAATAGGTGTCCGCAAGGCCAGCCCACCAGCTTCAGGCATCTTAACATTAACTGCAAGAGGAAGTTCACCTCTGGTACATATCACTGTCACTCTGACACACGAGTCTAAGCAACTAAGCCTCGGCTTATCTTTGTCCCGGCAGCTCCCTGTGTCTGGAATGCCTTTCTTGCCCAGCTCCCTATGGCCACATTCCACCCCTCCTCCAAACCCCAGTTCTAGGGTTCTCTTTTCCAAGATCCTGATCTCCCTGGGCTGAAATGACCTCTCCCTCCCGTGTACTCCCCTAAATTAACCTAACTATAAGGTGAAGGTATTGTGTCTTTGTCTGACACCTCCCCACCCGGTCTGGGAGTGCTTCCAAGGACAGAGATCACATCTTATTCATATCTGTGTCCCCAGTGCCAATCGAAATGCTGGGCTCAGTGGAAAGGCACCTGTAGATGTTTGTTGACTAAAAGACTAGAGTGTGTTCTTGGCTTTGGTCATCAGCTAATTATTATCTTGGCTGCTCACTCGGGATGGACAGGCAAAACCAGAGGTGTGAAGGATGCTAATGTTTATACAGCACCCATGATGTGCCTTGCCATGTGCCAGATGCATTCCCATAGAGCATCTCACTCAACCTGCCCCACCACCCCTGAGGAATGCATCACCACCCACTCCATTAGGCAGTTGAGGGGAGCCTGAGGCTCAGAAAGGGGCATGGACTCACCTCCCAAACCCTGTCCCTTCTGCAGTCTCCCAAGGCGCTTACCGGTTTCTTGCCCACAATCATGCGCTCCACGGCCTGCACCTGGGACACGTGGTCGTCATTGGTCCGCAGCTCACGCCCCTGGATGCGCTGGTAAATACCCACCAGGAGGTCTCGGGGGATGTCTTCACCGTTGTCAACCCCTGGGTGGAGGGAATACACAGGAATATATAGTATACGTGTGGGGAGTGGGTGGCAGGGATTCTCCACAACACCCCACACCCAAGCGTGGGCCATAACAATGGCCAGGACTGGAGGGAGTGGGCACCCTCGGTCCCTTGGTCAGGATCGGGCCAAGAAAGGCGCCCTTCAAGATAGTCAGTTGCTTTCTTCCCCAAGGTGGGGATTTTATCTAAACAACTCAGAGTACAGTGTGACTAAAACAATCAGACACTTTTTTTGGCCTTTCTAACTAGCAAAAATAATGTTAAATGATAATATCCAGTGTTAGTAAGAGTTCAGGGAAGCAGGCAGATATACTGACGTTAACTATTTTGGAAGGTAATTTGGCAAGCCTAAGTATTCAGTGATTCCTCTTCTAGGAACCTACTCTAAGGAATTACTCAGAAATATGGGCAAAGATATATGTATAAGTACAACTTATGGGAAAAATTTGAAACAACCTAAGTTCTAACAGCAGAATACTTAAGTAAAGTTGAGTATACCTGTTTCATAAAATAATTTACAGCTATTAAAAATTTGATGTTTATCAAAAAAGCATGAGAAAATTCCTGTAGCAAGTTAAGTGAAAAGAGCAAGATAATAAATTGCATGTACAGCCTGATCTTAACTGTAGAAAAAGTTACATATGCACAGGAAAAAAAGACTAGAATACACCAAAATATCAACCATGGTTGCCTCTAGGGGGCAGAATTTTGGATGGTTAAAATTTTTAATAACTTTCTATATTTCTAAAATTTCCAGAATGAGCAGGTATTTATTTCATTTGTTTGTTTGCTTATTTATTTAATAATTGGAGGGGGAAATATATACACATATACATACATATATAAAATATGTATATGTATATATGTATACACACATACATATACACACATATACATACACACACACACACACACAAAGAGAAAGAGAGAAAGAGAGAGAGCTAGAGAGAGAGCGAGGGGGGAAGGGAGAATGGATGAAATGAATGAAGGAACGAACGAACGACTAATGGCAAGATTCTGGGAGACAGCTCCAGATGGCCTCTGATCTAATTCCCTCCTCTCAAGTCTACCATCCTTCTGATTGTCTGCTGAGCGAAACCCACTCACTCTTCTCTCTAAACCTTCCGCTAAAGAAAATGTTTTCTCCTTTGGAAATGCCACACCTCCTCCTTGGACACCAGGTGCTAAAGGAACAGCCTTCATCACACCGCCTTTTTACCTCAGCTGCCAGAGAGCTTAGAGCCCAACTGTGCAAACCGCGACAGTCAGCAAATTTGTCTTGTCTGTTTGTTTTTCCTCAATTATACTTCCCTCTTTCATTTCTGTCTAAATAATCCTAACATCTGTGCCATTTTTAGTAGGCTGCTCTTTGGTGAGAGGCAGGGCTTGACATCGATACAATAAACTGAGAAAAAAGGTCAAGGTGACACCTTTCATCTGGCACTCAAGGCTGCTGGATACTGCTTCCAACTGACCTTACCAACTGGATTGTCCACCCCCTCTTGATTGTTCTCCAAACAACTTAACGTTTTCCTACCTCTGTGCCTTTGTTATTCTTACTGCTAGGTAAGCCTCCTCTACCACTGTTCCATCACATTATCTGTGCCTTCAAGAACCACCTGAAAATGAAAATACTGCTTCCTCCAGGAAGCATGTTGGAGGTAGGCTCTCTCTCCCCTGAGCTCTGACTGTACTTTTGGCCTGACATCACAGTTCACTTCCTGTCTTGTGCTGGGTATCTCTCCCACAAACCGGGAGCCCTCTTAGGGCAGGGACTGTGGCAGATGCCCCTCCCCAGTCCTTAGCGCCCACCACAGGGACTGGGACACATGAGGCACCCAGTGTCAACTGCCTGGCTGGTTGGTGGAGTGAATAAATGAATGCATAAGTGGAGGAAAGGGTACCTAAAATAAACGAGTCTTCATGGGCATAAATAAACAAGGGAGGGAAAGAGGGAGTGATGAGTAAACAGACATGTGAGTGAATCAGTGTAAGTTCCGTAAGAGCCAGGGCTTGTGCCTCCTGTTCAGGACCTCCTAATCAGTCAGTATTCCGTGTGGGAACGAATGGATGGACAAATGACTATTTGAGTGAATTAACAAGTAAATGCTGTGGGCACATCCAGCCTTGGCAGAAATTCAGGTTAATTTCCAGGGAGGAGATGTGATCTCCCTCTTCCTTCCCCACCCCTGCCACCCAGCCCACTTTCCCTTCCCAGGTAAAAGATAGGGAAAGCTGATGGGGAGGTCTGGGGTCACCTCTCAGGTTCTTGATGAAGTCATCTAGTTTCATCTTGCGTTCAGCCTTGACGCTGGGACTGTACATGTCGGTATTGAGGAGGATGATGGCAAAAGCAAGGATGAAAATGGTGTCTGGATTCCGGAACTGGCGCACAAGAGCTGGGTTACACACACAGTACCGCTGGCTGCAGGACAGGAGGGGTCAGGGCCAGGGTCAGGCACCAGTAACCTCCACCTACCCACTATCCTCCCATCTGGCACCACCAACTCCTTCCTCCAAGACATACTCCCAAACCCTTTGGGTCTCTCGTCTTTCTTCAGAGTTTCCTCAAGACTAGCATGTAAAAATCACAACCGCTACCTTTCATGGAGTTTTGCCAGGGGATTTATGTACATTATCTCATGTAATCCTATCACAGTCCTGCAAGGTAGCTAGTAGCAGCCCCATTTTACAGATGAAGTGACTGAGGTCCAAAGAGGTAAGGTAACTTGCCCAAGGCAACAGAGCTGATAAATGGTGAAACCAGGATGAAAATGCAGATCTTTCTGACTACAAAGCAAATCCTTCTCCCATGTTGGGAAACAAGCTCTCAGTAACTCTTCTGTTTCTCCTCTAAATACCTCAAAGTGGTGGAGCCAGGGTTTATAGCCAGGTCTGATGCCTGATCCCCGAAGCATTCACAGAGGAAGATAATAGTTAAGGGCATGGGTCATGGAGTCAGACACACGAGTTCAAATACTGGTTCCACTGCTTATTCACCACATGACTCTGGGCTTGTTACTTACCTTCTCTAAACTTCCTATTTCTCATCTGCAAAATGGGAATAATAAGAGAAGCACCTACCTCACCAGGTTGTTGTGAGTATTCACTGAAATAATCATGTAAAGTGTCCAGCTCAGTACCCAATATCTGGCGAGCACAGTATCAGCTCAGTGAATATAAGCTGTTGTTGCTGATGCTGTTGTCACTTGTTGGATGCCCTTGTCCCAGATGCTGAGCTGGATACTTTAGGCACATTACCTCTGATCCTCACAACTGCCTTGCAAGATAGGATTTATAACTTCCATTTTCTGGTTAAGAAAGTATAATGCTCAGAGAGGTGATTTGTAGACACATCCTACACTGCCCCCCAAAGTAGGGAAGGGCAGCTTCAGGAGTGGGAAGTGGGCACACCTGAAGGCTTCGATGAGTCGTTCCACTTTCTGGGCCTCACCCTGAACCCGGATATGGGATTGGAACTTCCGGAGTGCATCATCCAAATCCATGGAGGAGAAATCCATCTCATCCACCACACAGCTGAGGAGCAGAGAAGGGTGTGTGAACTCTCAATTTCCCTGCAGAAAACCTCTGACCCACCCTGACCTGCTCCAATGAACCAACACCCCCACTGACAGACTTCCAAAATCTGGACCTGTGGCCTAAGCAAGTACTTATGAGGATAGAACGTCTGAAATGGAATCCATCCCAAAAAGTCCAGGCCAGACACATGGTTACTAATGGTCTGTTCCGTCAACCCACTCATATCAGGGATGGGAAAACTGAGGCTCAAAGCAGGCCAAAGGACAAGCATGCCTTGCCTGGGGCCACCCAGAAGACTTTAGGACTAGTTCCAAGAGAGATCAGATCTCTTTGCGGCAGAGAGGTATGGGAGCAGGAAGGTCTATTCATCCTGTTTTGCAAAGTTTATCTCCCTCCTGCCCTCCTTTTCCAGGAACCCCTGGCCCAGTCTGCCCCAGCCTGGGGTCCTCACTCCAACACATCTCTGTTGAACTGCTTCTGCCGGTTCCCTAGGAATTCCCCTATCATCTGTCGGCTCAGGCCTTTCCGTTCCAGGATGAAGTGAGCCACTCCCACCGGCGTGTCTGACAGGAAGCCCCGCTCGATCAGATACTGGATACCCTTCTCTGGCTTCCTGCAGAAAGAGGGGAGGTAGATGAGATGACTGTCCTCCTGGAACTCTGCCCCCGTCCCATCTCTTGAACTAATTTTGGGCCCAACCGTGTCCTCAGAGAACTAAGGAAATCGAATATATAACTTGGTCCACTCCCTTCATGGTACAGGTGAGAAAACTGAGGACCAAGGAGAAGAAGACAGTTTCCCATTTCACAGTGCTTCAAAATTCCAAGGTATCCTCAACCCAACTTCCTCCTGCACTGGAGCCACACTACAATTGAAAGAAAATTAAGATCTAATGAGAGCCTGCTGTGTGCCAGGACCTTTGATATTCCTCACAGGCACTGAGGAGCCCTGGGAGAAAGCCTGAGTTCCAGGCTAAGTCCTTCTCCCTGAGTCACAGACCCTCACAGTAGGAGAGAAGTGAAAAGATTACTTTGTCCTCATCCCACATCCCACTCAGACAGGTATCACCCAGCCTCTGGGAGTGTTTCTATAGACAAGCTGCTCCCCATTTTCCACTAGGCCATATCTGGGTCTGAGCTATCCCATATTCAGAACCCCAGAGCCTTAGGGTCCTACGAGGCTAGAATTTGGAAGACTTTGGTGCCACAGGAGTCTCAGATCCATCACTTACTACGCATGACTTGGGACAATTCCCTTTACTTCTCCAAGCCTCAGTTCCTTCTCTATAAAATAGGGACACGACTGCCAACCTTCCTGAGTTAGCCTGAGAACTAAATGTAGAAGGCCGTGTCTCATAGGCTATGAAGATGTTAAGCATTTGTTTTCTAATTATTTTCTAATCAAACGTCACACTCCCATTCCATTGCTAAGCACCTGGCACAAGACCAGGTACCTAGAAAGAGCTCGGTCCTGGTCACTGACTAGTCCAACACAGCACCCTGCCCCCAACACCTCAAATATCCACACCCTGCTAGTTAATAGATAGAAACACTGAAGCCCAAGGAAGGGACACACCTTGCCCAGGGCTACCCAGTGAGTCTGGCCCAAGTCTCCCGTTTCTGAGAACAGGGTTCTTTATACACCACATCGCTTCCCTACCAAAAATGGAAGGTGGGCGACCCAAAGTTCAGAATCCATCCTATAGACAGAGAACTAGGGCCCAGAGAGGGAAGCATCTCACCCAAGATGACACAGCCAGTCAGAAGCAGAACTAGGACCAGAACTGCCTCTCACGGGGGTGGGGGCAGCTTTCTACTATTGTCACCCTATTGCCAATTCTTTTCCCTGAACAGCTGAAGAGAAACACCATCCACAAAATGAGAGGATAGTGGCAGCAGGATCACTGCCTCCAGGGGTCAAAGTGTCCGCAGCAGGGTAGGAAGGGGTGAGGGAGTGGGAACGGGAGCACGTACTTATTGAAGAGGTTGAGGCCGATTCGGTAGTGCCGCCTCTGCACCACGTCATTGTTGAAGGCTGGCGAGTCCCAGCTGTGCCTGGTCTCCCGCTGGTAAGTCTGCTTGCACAGGCCGGTGGCTGGAGGCTCCCTCAGGCTGTCCCGCGAAGAGGAGCCAGAGCTGCAGTTGATGGTCTCGTTGGAATTGCTGGAGCTCTCAAGGCTCTCATTATCTCCACCATCAGAGTTCTCGCCTGCTGCCTCGCACTTCCCCAACCTCCGACCCCCAGCCACACCACTGGGCCCAGCGCCACTGTTGGGGGCTGGTGGCAGGGGCCCTGGCGGGGCTGGGGCTGGGCCCTCCGGGGCTGGGTAGTGGCGGTGTGGGATCGGGGCCCTGCCTGGTGGCCCCTTGTGCTTCAGGGTCCCATGGGGGCTGCAGCCATCAGCCTCATACACGAGCTGACGGTGGACAGAGCCGCGATCTGAGCGGTCACTCAGGTCCACGGAGCTGTCACTAGGAGGCTCAATAGTAAGCAGGGGAAGGTGGGCAGCTCGCAGCCGGAAATCCCGGCATTCCAAGCACCCAGGACCCCTGCGAGCGCCTTCCTCACGGCTACCATCTTCCCGGGTCCCTGGTGGCACTGGTGGAGGAACTGGTGGGAGAGGGGCGGGTGCCCAGAACTCAGGCCGGCCCTGGGGTGGGGGCTCTGTGCTGGGCAGTCGCTCAGGGGATGGCGGGGGAACTGGGTCATCCAAGTAGAGGGGAAGGTCACTGAAGGATGTGGCCGAGCTGTCCTCTTGCTGTTCCTTTGACTCTCGCTTCTCCAGCTGGGCTGACCCTGGCTCCTCAGACATGGGCCCCGATGGGTGGCAGTTCAAGGCCTCGTCAATGGATTCAGCCAGAGACTTTACCTGTATGGGAGAAAAGGGGAGGAGGGAAAGGGAGGAAAGATGAAGGATGGTGGGATGGTGGAAGGGTGGGAATGAGGGAGGGAGGGAAAGAAAAAGGGGGGAATCTTCCTGGTGGGGCAGCCAAAAAAAGGGCTTCCCCTCCCCGACCTCCACAGATTCTCTGCAGCATATAAAATAACTCCCAGGGAGCCACTGTGAGCTCACAGGAGCTGGAACTAATGCCCACAAGTTCCCTTCTCAGATATCCCATTACCTCCTTCATGTCCATGTAGACCCAAGCCAAATGCCACCTCCTCCCTGATCCAAGCCACATTCCTGCCTCTGCCTTCCCTTAGGGTAAACCAAAATCCCAGCTGCCTCTGGGCTCCCAGAGCCCTCTGTCTGGTTCTCTCTTAGGAAATCCATAATATTTAGCCTCGAGAATCTGGACCATGGCTGGTAACTCTGCCTATGGTTTTCAGCCTCCAAACTGGCCCCTAATGATCCCTGCCTCCTGGTATTCACACCCTCGTGTACCATAGTATCCCAGGGTTGGTCTATGGGACTGACAGCATCCGGCAGCAGTGATGGGATGTCACTTCTGAGGTTATGAAAGACTGCAGCTTCCATCCTGAGCACTCTCGCTCACTTGTGCTCCCTCTCTTAGACCCCTCACTCTGGGGAAAGCCACACCGTGAGCAGTCCTATAGAGAGGCCCACGTGGTAAGGCCCTGAATCCTCCTGCCAACAGCCAAGAAAGTGAGCTTGGAAGCAGACCCATCAGCCCCAGTCAAGTCTTCAGAGACTACAGTCCTGCCCTACAGCTTGATCACAGCTTCATGAGAGACCCTGAACCAGAACAACCAGTCAAGCCACTCTGAGATTCCTGGCCCTCAAAAACTATTTGTTGTTTAAGCTACGTCTTTACATTCAGTTTTAAGCTGCTAAATTTTGGGGTCATTTGTTATGCAGCAATAGATAATGAATACACTTCCCCATCAGACTTGAATAGCACTGAGAGTTGGGCCCAGGCCGGATTGTGAGCCCAATGCTCCATTACCCCCTTGAGGGATGGGTCCAGGCCAGGTTTCTCTCTTTTTAGCTCAGCTCGACACACATTGCTTGACACAGAAGAGATGTTCAATTAATTGTGTTGTATGAATGAATAAATGACTGATTTAGATCTTCCCTTTAATACTTCTTTCCTTCCCTCTACCCGCCCCTGCCCCCCTGCCCCCGGCCCCAACACACCTCCAGGGAAGCATGCCCAGGTTTATGGCAGGGCCAGATCACAGAGGTTAGAGCAGAATAATTTCTTCTCTTATAAACTTTCTTTTATTCAGTCATTCAACAATTTCTGCCAAATACCTCTTTGGTTTTAGGAAGGAAACTAACATGTACTTAGCAGCTACCATGTACTACGTGCTTTCAGATATACTACCTAGCTGAACTGAACCTTCCAAACAGCTCTAAAAAGAAGGTCTTATCTCCATTTTATTGATCATGTTTCAGTGGGGTTAAACAGTTTGCCCAAGGTCACATAGCTCGGGAATAGCAAAACTGGGATTTGCAGCTGATCAGCTATGCTGACACACCACAAGCCTAGAGTGATCTCCTACCACTATTGCTGCCGGTTACATTCCCACCCTTTCCTGCTTTTGCTGATGCAATGCCTATGCAAGCAACACCCTCCCGACCATCTCTAACTTGCTAACTCTTAACTGTCTGCTAAGGCCCAGGTCCAGTGCTGTTTCCTCAAAGAAGCCTGCCTGGTCCTCCCAGAAGAAAGTTTCCTCTCCCTCCTCTGGGTTCCCATGTGATCCCTTCTCATGGCTCTGAGCACATTCTTTCAGGAGACAGTCCTGTGCACATGTGTCTGCTATTTCCTACTGGCTTGGGGAGATCCTTGAGAAAAAGAACCCTGGCCGGTTCATCTGTCTCCCACATGGCGCCCAGCACAGAGCCTGGTCCATGGTCGTATGGTATAAGGGAAACCTTTGGAACCAGTCAGAGCTGAGTTCCAATCCAGTTTGGAAGTCACTTCACCTCTCAGGGCCACAGAGCCTCAGTCTCCTCCCCTGTAAAACCAAGATAACAACACCGGTCTGGAAGGTCATTTTGAGGCATATACAGCACCTGGTACAGAGTAGGAGCTCATCACCTGTTAGGCCTTTATCTGATAGTGGCTCACGTTCCAAAGAGTGAGAACTTTAATTTTCTTATGTGTTCTAGACACCCAGATTTTTAACTTCCTTGTTTAAACGATATAATTTTTCTCTTGCCAATCCTTTCTCATTATTCTCACAGTCCCTACGCAGATGGTAGCTATTCGTTGTTATCAAAAGCTTGTTGGGCAACTTCTTTCGGTTTGAAGTACAGGTAAAAAGGCGTAGGAGTAGCCAGAGCACAGGGATGGGGAGGAAAGGCTCTTTTCAGGGATGCTGACCTGTTTGGAGAAGGAGTCCTCAAGCTCTGTGATGTCATTAGAAAACTCTCCAGATGTGGTGACGGAGCTTCCCCCACCATCGATGCCCCCTCCACAGGAGCCTCCATATGGGAGCCCCCGTTCAAGCCGGTGGCTCCGGGCACCAGCCATGGCACCCTCGTCCAGCGAGGCAGGCTTGCCCTCGAAGTACGCGGGGTTCTGTGCCTTCTCATATTCCTCAAAGGAGAACTGCATCCGCATGTTGGAAAGGATGATGCGGCGGGACATGCGGCTCTCTGAAGCTGAGCTGCGGAGCCGCTCAAAGTTCTTGTTCATGCGGTACTGACGGAAGGCCGTCTGGATGGTCCTGGCAGCCCTGCGGCTCAGGAAGGAGCCCCCGTACTTCCTCTCCAGCATTTCCACCTGGCAGGGGAGGGTGGAGGGGAACAAGGTCAGAAACTCACTACAGCCTCCTCATCTCCCTGGGCCTCAACCACACCACGCCCGAGTCACAGCTAACTGCTTACAGCTGCCTGGATGCGCCAGGCTGGGCTCTCAGTGTCGTGTTCTCACTTTAATCTCAGATAGCACATGTCACACGGGACTGAACTGTGGTTTTTTTTTTTTTTTTTTTTTTTTTGCGGTACGTGGGCCTCTCACTGTTGTGGCCTCTCCCGTTGCGGAGCACAGGCTCTGGACGCGCAGGCTCAGCGGCCATGGCTCACGGGCCCAGCCGCTCCGCGGCATGTGGGATCTTCCCGGACCGGGGCACGAACTCATGTCCCCTGCATCAGCAGGCGGACTCTCAACCACTGCGCCACCAGGGAAGCCCCTCTTTTTTTATTTACAAGAAGTAGATGTTCAGTATTTTAAAATAAGAAAAGAAAAAACACAGAGAAGCCAAAAAAGGAAAGAAAGGAAGACATAAATTGAAAGCAAGAAGGAGAAAGAGAGAGGAAGAGAGGGAGGGAAGAAAGGAAGGAAAAAAGGAAAGGAGGAAGGAAGGAAGGAAAGAAAATTGAAAGAGAGAGGAAGAAAGGGGGGAGGACGGGGGAGAGGGAGGGAGGGAGGGAGGGAGGGAGCGAGGAAGGAAGGAAGGAAAATTGAAAGAGAGAAAGAAAGGGGGGAGGACAGGGGGAGAGGGAGGGAGGGAGGGGAGGGAGCAAGGAAGGAAGGGAGGAAGGAAGGAAGGGAGGAAGTTTGGTTCACCTAAAGTCCCAACACCTGGCATAACCACAATTACATTTTGGGATATGTCCTTCCAGTTTTTTTCTTTTGTACATAGTATTTTGTGTCCCCTTTGTAGCTAAACAATACCTTGTGTGACACATGTGATATTTTGTAACACACTGTTCTGAACTTGTCAATTTATGTGTGTGCTTCTCCCCTTACACTGAGATTTTTGAGGACTAGGTCCAGGTGTTTCATCTTTACATCTCCAGTGCCCAGCATGGAGCTCCCTCAATGTTTGCTGAGTGAATACAAGACTCAGTGGATGGATGGTGAATGGGTCAGTGAGGCCCTAGTAGGGTGAAGGGTTCTGGAGCCAGTCTTCTCCTGTTCTAGTCTCACTATCCCTCCCTGGACACCACCTTTGAGTGCCATATTCCAATCCCTCCCTTGGTCCTCTCACACCCCCACCCCCACCCCCACTCCCGGCCAGAGCCATCTCGTCGGCACCTTCTTGTCCTGCAGGTCCGTGGAGAGTTCATAGCTGTCCGACAGGGCCTTGGAGCGCTTTATCTCCTCTTCTTCCTGCTTCCTCAGGGCAACACTGGCTGGCTGGAGGCGAGCCCGCTGAGCCCAGGGAAGGCCCACCCCAGCAGGGGGGCCCCCCATGTGGCTGCTGGTGGGGGGCAGCTGGCTCAGCCGGTAGGGGGGTTGGCTCCCGGGACTATCAACCGCTGTGCTCAGGTCACTGCCTGGGGCATCACCCTCCACACTGTGGGGATGAGATAAGATGAGCCAGGATGTGGGAACAGGAGACAGGCCTGCTGGGCCAGACTGAGAGTGGGTGGACCAGATCCTTTCCCACAACCCCATCCTCCCCAGCGTCCTCACAGATACAAGGACCCCAATACTTAAAGGCCAGAGGGGAGTCCTACCCCCCAAGTAGTCTCCTCACTGCCCTCCCAGTCCTGTCCTCACCCCTTCAGCCCTGTCCCCTCACAGCTCCATCCTTTTAGACTCCTTTCCCTCCAGCCATGTCTTCTCACAGTCTTGTCTCCAGTCCTACTCTACTCTCACAGCCTGGTCCCCTCGTGGCCATGTCCCCTCACAGCCTTATCCTCAGACCAGTTTCATCCCACTCCTGTCCCCTCAAGTTCCTTTTTCTAATCATCTCAGCCCCTAACAGCTCCATCCCCAAACCCTTCCTCCCCTGAGGGACCAATTCCCTTGTATCTCCACCCCCCCAGACCTCTTCCCCTCACAGCTCTGTCTCCAAGAGGAGACAAGACGAGACATGCATCCCTCCCAGCCATATCCCCAGCACCATCCCCGATCAGCCCTGTCCCCAGGCCTGAGGCCCACTCCCACATCCTGCACATCTAGGCTCTCCCCTGCTCGCCCAGCCCTGCCCCCTACAGCCCTGCCTCTGCCCTCAGAGGCCTGGACTCCGGGCTTGGCCAGTTCCCAGGGTTCCCTGGCCGCCAGGACACGGGCTCAGTGACAGTGGGAGGCACCTCCCATCCAGCATCCTCACAGGTAAAGAGCTGCCCTGCGGGGCAACTTCCTTGTTCTCCTCATGGCCTCCTCTGTTCAGCTGGGGGAGGGGGACAAGGGTCTCAAGGCTGAAGGGTGGTAGGAGCTGGGCACTGGGTCTTGCCCGCCCTGGTTACCCGGAGCTGTTGTTCTGCCACACCTGCTCCCACGGTGCCATGGCAACCAGGCTGCCAGGGAACTCAGGTGGCGACAGAGCCCAGGCGCCCTGAGCTGGGCAGGCACGATGAGCAGCCGCAGAGACAGGAACACTGGAGGGGGGTTGGGAGGGGGCGACAGGCAGGGGGAGGCATGGAGGGGGTTGTGGGGAGAATAGATGTGGCTGAGGCCGGCAGGCACGGGGGTGAGGGGGCTCTTGGCTGGCGAAAGGGTTAAGGGGCCATTCCCCAGCCCCTACTTGCAGAGGCCCAGGGTGCAGAACCAGAACGAGGGCAAGCTGGGGTGGGTGGAGGGGGGCTCCATACCGTTTCAGGAGCTTGAGCTACAACGGGCCTGCCAGCCTGGCAGAGAAGAGCACTTTGGTCTGGGGGCTGGGTGCGGTGGGTTACAGCGTTGGCGCTGGCTCTGTCCTGGTGGGGGCTCCCGCCCACTGCTCACCCTCTACCCTCCCAAGTGTTGTTCTGCTACACTGTCAGGAGCAGGGCGGAAACAGACTGAGGGGCTACCCTGCCCAGATGCTCTCTCCTTCTGGTCCTCTGGGGCCTGTGAAGTCCCCCTTCAGGGGTCAGACCCAGCCCAGCGCCCCCCAGGCATCTAAGGTGCTCCTCTTCGCCCCTTCAGGACTGCAGGATCCTGCCCACCAGCCTCTCAAACCTCTCCCCTCCCAGCACATGGCTCCCAGTTTTGATCAACTGTCGTCTCCTTTGTTCACGAACCATCCATGGTTCCCACTGCCCACAAGAGATAGCCCAAGTTCCTTATTGTGGCATTTGAGGCTTCTCCAAGATACAGTAGCTAATGTTTAGTAAGGCACTGTTCTTACCACCTCACATTTAATAACTTGTTTACTCTTCAAAACAACCCTATGAGGTAGGTATTGTTATTCGTCTTCATTTTACACATAAAGAAACTGAGAGGTTAGTAATGTATCTGTGGTCACACAGCTATTAATGATAGAGCCAGGATTCAAATCCAGGCAGTCTGACTCCAGAGCTCACAGTCTTAAACATTAAGCCATACTGCAGGGTTGGCTGCCAGCCCCCCACCCCATGAACCCTTCCCTCCAGCCAGCCCAAATCCTGTTTCTCCCCAATACTCCTGTCCTTTCCACCTCCCAAACTGCTCATACAGTACTTTCTACCTGCAATGCCATCCCTATCATCTTCTGCCATCTGCAATCTGAGAACCCCCCCACACCCTAGTGCCATCAAGATTCAGGTCATATGCCACCACTAAGAAGCCCTCCCGAAGCCCACCTCTAGCCAGAAATGATTGCTGATCCTGTTCAGGGCTCCCACACACAGCACATGTCTGTCCTTCTTTTTATGGAGCAGGTTAGCTTTGGCAAAGCGTGACAGCTATTTGTGTTCCTGACTCCCAGAATCCCAGCACAGGAAGAGAATTTGGTAATCTCTCCGCTAGCACAGAGCACAAGGCCTGGAACAGAGTAGGTGCTCAATGAAAGCTTCTGTGGGGAGGAAGTCAGTGAATGAGCTCTGGCGGCTGCGGTAATATATCCTCTCACCTGAACTTTGACCTCAGCCTCCAGTCTCCTCTTCCCAATCCGTTCTCCATCCTGTGGCCAGAGAGAGCTTTCCAAAGTAGAAATCTGACCGTTTTGCTCCCCCACTAAAACCCTTCCGTGGCTTCTCATAACTCATTCAACAAACAACAACTGAGCCCCTTCTACATGCCAGGCACAGTGCTAGGTGCTGGAAATACAATTGTGAGCAAGAGGTGTAAGATTTGTTCCCTCGTGGAAGTGACATTCTAGTGGGAGAAGAAGACTATAAATATATACTATCATTTCAGGTAGAGAGAAGTGCTAGGAAGGAAAATACAGCAGGGTGATTAAAGGTGCTGTTTTAGACGCGGTGGTCAGGGAAGGGCTTTTTGAATAAATGGCATATAATCAGAGCCCTGATGGAAGTGAAGGAGTGAGCTGTGTGGTTATCTGACACAAGAGCAGTCAAGACAGAGGGTAGAGCCAGTGCAAAGGCCCTGAGATAGAACTGTGCTTGGCATGTTTGAGGAACAGCCAGGAGGCCAGTGAAGCTGGAGCAGAGTAAACGAGGGGAGAGTGATAGAAGATAAGATCAGAAAGGTAATTGGGGCAAAATTGTGAAGGGCATTGAGCCCACGAAAAAGACTTTGGCTTTTCCTCTGATTGAGATGAGCAGAGGAGGGGCGTGATCTATTTAGGTTTTACAGGAATAATCATCCATAGGATAACCTCCAGCTTCCTTACCATAGCTGAGGATGGTTCTCCTGACCGGACCTCTGCCTCATATACCTTCTGCCCCTTTACCCCAACCTGGCTACCTCCTGCTCACCCTTCAACATTTAGCTCCGGTGTTCCCTTCCATGCCTGCCTGAGCCCTTCACACAGGATTGCTTACAGGCCCCTCCTCTGTGCTGCCATAGGACCCTAGAGTCACCTCTATCCCTAGGGCAAAGGCATTAATTAGCTCATTGAAGCCTTACAATTTACTGAGGCAGGCACCATTAGCCCCATTTTATAGATGAGGACACTGAGGCAAGAGGTGATGTAAACTTGCTCAAGGTAACACAGCTATTAAGTGAGAAAGTCAGGATGCAAACCCAGGGCCTAGGCTGTCTTCTCATGACATGACATCTTGTTGCCTATCCCCACTTCTAGCCCCTTGCGGCCCCTGGCCCTCTACCCTTTGGCAGTTCTCCTCTCCCTTCTGTTTTGGTTGCAAAGGTAATAGTGGCAGGGAGGTCAGGCTGTCAACACAGCCCCCCAAAAAGGACAGAGCTGGAGGGCATCATACACACTGCTAAAGAAATGGGACCTGGGGACGTGGGATCCCTTAACTCAGAACTCCCAAACACTCAGCGCACTTACAGCGCACCTTCCCTGCGTCAGGCACTTTCTGCACATTATTTTAACTGCGTGGCAAATGCTGATCACATGGAAAAATCTCTCTTCTCTTTCTTACATCTCACAATAGACTCATATTCATTCTCTCTCTCTCTCTCTCTCTCTCTCTCACACACACACACACACACACACACACAAACACACACACAGAGAACATGTTGTGCAATAAGAAGCTGGGCAGACCTAGGTTCAGGTCCTGACAGCCATTTATCCGCTGTGTGAGCCTGGGTGTGTCCCTTTACCTCTATGCACCTCAGTTTCTCATCCGCGTGGAGCTCAAAATGCAATTCCCTCTTTGGATTCCTGCACTTCAGAAAGGGCCTGGGAGATCTACCTCTCTGGGACTCCTCCCAGCCGGGAACAGGAGCAAAGAAAACACACACACGCGCACACGTGCACCCATGTGTGCTGTCTGCTGGGCTATTCTGTGAGGGAAACTGGGGAGCATCCTCTGCAGCGGGGGGAATAAATCACGTTACACAACTAACCACAGTATAAAGCTGAAAGTTCTCAGGGCTGGGGAACAGAGGAAGTGCTAGGAGAGCTCAGGAGAGATTCCTCCTGCTGCGGGGTGGGGCAGGGATGCTGAGTGGAATAAAAATAAACTCGCACTTACAGCGCACCTTCCCTGTGTCAGGCATTTTCTGCACATTATTTTAACTGCATGGCAAATGTGAAGGAAGAATTAGGATTCCGATTTTGCAGGTGAGGAGAAGGCTCTGAGGGGGAAAGTGATGCCAAAGGTCTCAGGACTAGCAAGTGGCAGAACAGGGATTCAAAGCCCAGAGCCTGTGCTAGTTCCCCTGCTGCCTCGAAGGCTTCATGGGGCAGTGGTGGGGTGGGGGAGCTACTGAATAGGGCCTTTCCTAGGAGGAGTTGGTAGAGAGAAGGAGTGAGGGACCTTGTGAGCCAAGGCATTACGATGGGGAGAAGCGGGGCAGAACGGGCAGTAGGGATTTGGGGTGGCCTGCCCTTGGCGGGGGCACTGACCCACTCTGGCTGCTGCTATTAATGGGAGGTATCTCTCTCTCCTTCCCTTTATTGGCACTGACCGGAGCCAGGCAGCCAGCAGGGGATGGGATCAGGATGCAGTTGCCATGGAAATGAATGGGGGCTGTTGCTATGGATACCATAAGATGAGGGCAAGAGGAAGCTAG